ACACACCCCAGCCTCCTTATCCTCTAGCGCAGTGACTCTTCCTTATTTCATTCCCCCAATTACCGAATATTTGTCTCCTCTCCCCCACGTTTCTATTCACATCCCATGCTCTTGTCCCCACCTGTTCTGCTAAATTCTAGGTACCTCCTCATTTTCCAGCCCCTAGCATATCTGCCTCTTTCTTCCTCCCCACAGTCTTGGTCCTTCATAGCTTATCTCTGTGCCCTCTCTCCCTTGCAAATAGACTCCCCATCACATCCTCTACTGCATTCCCTAGTTTGTAGGCTCTAACCTTTTCTCCCTCCTCCTGATTCTCATCCCCGCTCTATCAGGTTTCCAGGCTTCCCGCACACAATCAGCTCCAGGCCCTGCCCATATCTCGTTCCTGTCCCTACTACATTTGAACCAAGCAGTGCCTTCTCACACCCTGCTTTTGTGCCCACCACAGGAGGGAGGTTACTGTCAACACTGGGCACAGAAGACTCCCTTCTGAAGCAGAAGGAGCAGTTGTGACTGAAGGAAAAGCATGCTTGGCCCTTCAGCACTAGTCTAGAAGATGCTTATTGCTGCAGAGAGAGTACATGTGCAGTCCAGCCTCATACAGAAACTAAGACAGGTCAGAGCGTATTTATCTCTTCTGTGGAGATAGAGAGTCTGGTCAGTGCCTGGAGTCAAGCAAGCCTCAAGAAACATCAAAGAGGATACAATCTTCGTGTATTTCAACTACCAAAGCATAAAGCATCTCAGAGCATGCTTAACAGATTTTTTTCCAAGGTTATGACTTGGCCAAATTTAACCGTATTTTCACAGATATATGTGGCTTACAAAAGCCATAGCCACCAGATTTCAAATCTATTCAAAACCATGGGAAGTTCACCAAACAGCAATGCTAAATCCAGTATAGGGCAGAGAAAAAGGCTTACAATGAGACATGTCTGAGAACATGCCAACCTGCTGTATTCCAACCACTGGCTGCCCTTGTGTCCCTAACCTCCTCACTGAAGTGGGCCTCCACCCAGCTTCTTTGCCTTCTGCAACTCAACTCTGCTTCTTGCTAAGCCTTCTGTGCTCTTTTTCACCCGGGACTCACCTCAGCAGCTTATGGTCTCCCAGACCCAATCCCCCTTCTGTTCCCACAACCTAGTGAAAGTAGGGAAACTCAGAACTAGCGGTGGGGAACAGAGAGCTTCTTGGTCACAGTATGATGGCAAGGCCCTTCTCAAGCCTACAACTTGTTGGTGTCCTAGGCTCCAAAGCACAGCTTGCAAAACCATTCCAGCCTATAAACTGGTATCTGTCCTAGCCTTTACAAACTTTATACTGGAACCAAGCAACGCCTATAAAGAGCTCTCTTCCTCTTGCAAAGAAGAAACTATTTGTAGAACTGTTTGTCAAAGACAGAGAACTGATGACCTGGCCCAGATAGGCTGAACCACTTCATCAGTCTTGTCCACTGATCACATCACACCACAAACTTCTAGAAGTGCACAGGAACTGACACCAAAACAGCACTAAGAAACAATACTACTGCCTCCAGGACCCATGCTTGCTCTCTCTTCCTCAGCATCTTTCAAAGTACTGAGAAGAAGTCATGTACTTCACACTGCCAGCATCTTACTGGAAAGACTCTTGACGCCAATCTCATTTTCCACAGATAAAGTAAATTCTACAAAGATGTCAGGAAAGATTAACAAAGAGCTGACAATGAATCCAGACAAGACTGAAGTGACATTACTCATGAAGGAAAATGCTTCACAGGACTGGGTTAGATGCTGTCCCCTGCAAGTTCAAGCATTCTTCTAACAGCACAAAGCAAAAGCACCAAGGACTCTGCCAGACTAATCCTAAGGCTAGGTGTCCAAGTTCTGCAAGGAGCACAATCATTAGCAAAAGCCTCACACCTTTTCTTACAAAGAAAAACCTAGTTACAAAGATTCTTGCACCACTTTCACAGCAGACTACTGTTTCACTTGCAGAGATGATAGAGCAGCAAAACAGCTGCCATTTGCTGAAGCAGGAATCTCTACATTCAGTAGAGAATGGGATGAGCTGCAATACAAGTATCACCTTTGTGCTCCAGTCCTTTCCAAGTCTGCCCTGCTGTGCAACCCATTCAAGGCCTTACTCCTTCCTCACCAATACACTAGGAGTCAGGAATTAGGGAAATCAGGCACCTGCCCAGGCACTCAGGACAAGAGAGCTCACAGAGCTCAAAGAAACCAAAAAATAACTGAATTTGACAAAATAATCCCAGGCTTTAGGAATTAGGTATTTTTTCAAAAAGTCATATTGATCAATATAGTACAACTCCTTTCAGGCATCCGACTAGATTGTCCTCAGACTATTATCATAAGAATCAGTGAAATCGTACAATTGTAGACATACGCATGCCACAAGCAACTCCTCCAGCCTCAGAAGGGAGCAGGAGTAGATGAACCTCACCCACAGTCTTAATTTAGCTAGGATATGTCTGCATACTAGTAGTAACAGGAACTACCCAAATCATCCTCTAGAACACAGAAGGAAGTCCTCAAAGTTTAAACTTGCAAGTCTATTCATATGCATATTACATAGAAACAATTTCACTGTATTTCACAAAAGTTTTCTCTCCCACAGCTCCAAGAAAAGATAGCATTTTCCTTAGTTTTTTCAGCAATTGTTTTTAGTTCCAAACTTGCACATAGAAAGCATCAGCCAAAGAGGAGATCCCAAGGAGGGCAGAAGTACTCCTTGGTGGTCTTCAATAAATCTCAGTTCAGCTATCTTGCACCTTAGCACTGCACAAAGGGAGGTGTGCTTGGGATGGAGGCTGGAGGAAGAGGCAGAGGTATCACACTCGGATTGAACATAAAGGCAGGAAATGTTCCTGATTATGTGTTCCTACTTATAAACTCATTCGGGTTTTTTTTTCCTGCAAAGTCTTTTTCATAGCTGTTACACAGACTATGCGTGTTCATAAAGTTTCTGCTGAGTCACTCCACCTGGTCTTGGGCATTTTTTTCCAAACTTACAAGTAAACAAGGAGCTATAATTAAAGCCTTGGTTCAGCTTTAATTCTAACGTTCACTGCCAATTGTGTCCCCTGTAAATACATATTTAACAACCTAATTAGCAACCCAGACTGTAAGCAGTTTGAGTAGTGTGGAATTGTGGCTAAAGCCCAAAATAAATGGTGGGATTACAAATAGCAAGCTACCTAACACTCCCACCCCTCTTCACCATACGCTGATTATATTTTCAAAGTGGAAGAACTGGGACATTGGACAAGAGAATAAAAAGGCTGATCCAAGCTCTGGTTTTGTATTCATTTAACTGTATTGATTTAAAAATGTAAACACTTTTAAAATGCTATAGTTAAAAATGAAACAGTGCCTGGAGCAGATGCACTGATTCTGTGTAGATGCCTTCATATAGTTATGACTTAATTCCAGAAATGTAACTAAATCTGTACAAAAAAAGAGGATCTAGGATGATTAAAGAGAAACTGTCTGAGACATGATCATGGGCACATGGTAGGGAAGCAAGAAGAGCTAGGGACCAGCAGTGAGCCAGCAGTGTGCCCTGATTGCCAACAAGGCCAATGGCATCCTGGGGTGCATTAAGAAGAGTGAGGCCAGTAGGTTGAGGGAGGTTCTCCTCCCCCTCTACTCTGCCCTAGTGAGGCCACATCTGGAGCACTGTCTCCAGTTCTGGGCTCCCCAGATCCATAGTGAAGAAGAGAAGGCTGAGAGGAGACCTTATAAATGCCTATAAATATCTTAAGGGTGGGTGTCAAGAGGACAGGGCCAGGCTCTTTTCAGTGGTGCCCAGTGACAGGACAAGGGGTAATGGGCACAAACTGAAGCAGAGGAAGTTCCAGCTGAACATGAGGAAGAACTTCTTCCCTCGGAGGGTAACAGAGCACTGGAACAGGGTGCCCAGGGAGGTTGTGGAGTCTCCTTCTCTGGAGATATTCAAGACCCACCTGGATAAGGTCCTGTGCAGCCTGCTCTAGGTGACTCTGCTTTGGCAGGGGGGCTGGACTAGATGACCCACAGAGGTCCCTTCCAAACCCCACAATTCTGTGATTCTGTGACCATCTCCTATTTCTGTTTTCCCCGGCTACTACTCTGGCTGTTATTGATCTTAATCATCCCTCAGAAACGCCCATCGCTACATCACCCATACGTGCTCCTGCTTCCTAAGTAAGACAGACCATAACACTCCCTCCCCAGCACTCACCTGCTTCGCTCAGTTCCTACCTTTTCTAAAACACCCACACTCCTTATCCCCTGATTTAAGTTCTCCCTCCTAGTTAATCTCTCACTTTCCCACCACTCACTTGTAAACTCAAGCCACATCCCTCCAAGGTCAGAAACCCAAGCTCAGGGCTCAGAACTCTCCCCCCTCTTATATGATACCCTTAGGGCTCGGAAACACCCTTATACCTAATTCAGAAATATATTTTTTTCTGTTTTGTTGGGAATGCTGAAATAGGAGATCACAACGGGCAATGCACATAGGAGCAGACACCATTATCACGGTTCACTTCCTGCTCTGTGTGCCTCCAGTTTGTAGCCTTTACCTCGGGCAGACTGGAGTCCTAATTCGGGGTACCCCAATACACTAGGGCTCTCAACTACACCAGCAGCGCTCCAGTTGCAGCAGACAGTACCACATTCTGCAGCACACCAGGACAGACTACCCGGCTGTGGCATCAAGGATACAGTTCAGCCTCCGTAACAACCTGGTCATTAACCAACCTAGGAACATTAACATCTGTATATTCAGGAAATCAAGGCTGTCCACTAAGAAGGAGATCCTTAGTTTTGGGTCAACCCATCAGCTTGCAAACACTCCTGATTAGGACTCAACTCTTTCTACAGCTGAAAGATTCCCTACTCAGGGACTCGACAGGGAAAAGGCAGAGATCTCTTCCTCCCCATGTAACCCTCTGAAGGGTTAAACACACCCCCATCCCCATGCAATGGTACAAGGCTTAACTTAACCCCGCTCCCCACCTGTATGTCTTGCCATCCTTGTGCTGGTCCTCATCATCCTCATTTGACAGCACAAAGGGGTCGCTCATCTCTGGCAGCCCCGACTCCTGCAATCGCTTCTTCTTCCGGCCCCGGGGTGGTTTGGGGGCAACTCCCCCACCCCCGCCACCCCCACCGCCTTCGGAGAGGGTGGTTGTCCCTTTCTTGGACAGGTCAGGAACCACCTGGAGGGCTGCCTGGGAGCCAGGCGGTAGCGCAGAGACAATCATGGGAGCTGAGATGGGAAAGGTTTGGGCAGAGGAGGCTGTGGTCACCAGGGAACCTGACGGGGAAGTTATCACCAGACCAGGACCTGCAAAGAACGAAAGATGGAGGAAGTTGGTTATTACATCTCTAATTATGTCCAACCTCCTTATCCCACAGCAATGAGCTTTATACACCCACTTTTAACTACAACCCAGACAGAAGAGTAGTCTACACATTCCCAGTCTCCACTGCTGGAAGTCAAACTTCCATAAACAGGGTGGATGTACGCAGTGCCTAGAGACTCACAGTGAAACCGTGCCAAGGCAGCCCACACCATCAATAAGGCTAGGAATAATCTATAGTCCAAAAAGGATTCTCCAGGACCCACTTGACCCCCATCCCAGAGCCTCCTTTGTATGTTGCCAAAGTCTTTGGAGGCACCTACCTGCTGTCATGAGCCCAGCAGACTGCACTGGTACCACGGTGATGTTCTGAGTCACAGGGGCTTGGCTGTGTGGCGTCAGCTGCTCCGGCTTGGTGTCTGAGTCCATGGAGATACCAGTGGGTAGGGCCACAGAGGTGGGTACTGTCAGCAAGGCAGGGTAGTGGGGGGGAGCAAGGCTGCAACCCTTTTCTGTGGGCAATAGCTGCTCCTTCATCTTGTTAATAAACATGGTGTTCTCAATCTAAACGGGTAGGAAGAACAGCTTTTAGTATACTCTGTCACAGCTTCTTCCAGCAGTTGGCTGAGCAACTACTGCAACAGAAACACTTATCATGCATGAACTTCTAATGGGCAGCAAGACCAGCATAGTAGGCTGGAAGACAAAGATCTTACCTGTCCCGAGACGGTGGGCACTGCTGGCCAGAAGTACGGGGAGGAGTTGAAATGAGATTCTTCCATCCTAGCTGGGCACAGGGGGGAGGAGGAAGGGGGAAGGGAAGAGGAACGGAGGAGAAGGAAGACAGACAGACACACACACAAAAATAACATTAAACCCAAAGAGACTCCAACATGGAACTGACTCAGTCTAACGCTGGGACAGTTCCTTAATCCCCCCTTTCTTAATTGAGCAACTTCTCCCCACTTCTGAGCTATCTGCCCAAATCAAAAAATTATTTTCAGGGGAAAAAGGAGTCTTCTATTCCCACAGGCTTGGGTCCATCTCAAACACCTCTTGCCCAGTAGTCCTCCATGCAAAAAAGGACTGATTACAAACCCTGAACACCTCAAAAATTCCCCAATTATTATCTACCCAAGTACACAGCATAAATGATGATGTCTGTGCATCTGCAACCAGGCAAATACAGCTGAAAATCATTTTTCACTGTCACAGACGGTCTGACCCCACAAGCAGTGAAAATTTTGGACCTTGCCTGTCCCTCCACCCCAGCTCAGCACTAAGGACCCAGATGCAGCAAGGGGACATTAGCATTGTGTTACACAGGAAGAAAGACAGGCAGAGAGAGGGAAACAGACTTGCCCAAGATAACAGACAGCCACAGCAGACCAAGAAGTCAAACGTAGGGCTCCTAACTTCCTGCTGCCCACTGCTTTGACCACCCCAGCCCCACTCTGGGAAGAAACCCGGAAATATCACTCAATATTCCTGACAGACAAGATCCTCTGCTCTCATCCAATAGGACTAGGCAGTGGGAAAACACCCTGACTACCCTGCTCCTGAGACACCCTATTTCCAAGTGAGATCGCGTTACGGCTCTCTGTTGCCCATTTCACTCCCGCCTTTAGGACAAGATTCTGTCCCCAGTCAACTGTTCACTGCTCCACCTCAACTTTCCACGCAGTAAGAGGACCAGTTACGCACCAAAAGACAGCGCTCTGAAGACAGGGGCATAACCTCTTTAGGAACACCCGGCTGAAGAAGAATTCCAATTCTTACATTCCTCTGTGTAACAGTATTAGTGGACAAAGTTTGTTATACCCATGAAAACACTCTTCAAAAACTAAAGAAATTAACAAAGTAGTATTTCCTGAAGCAGAAGATGCACCTATTCCTGAACAAGTACGGCAAAACCGGTAGGTAAAACACATCTGATAAAAACTACACTCAGAGAACATCTGGCAGAGCAAGCTGCTTAGAGAAAGCAAGCATTTGTAGGTTTCTCATGCAGCTACCTGCAAATTGTCCCACTCCTCTTTCTGTTATGATGCGGCAGCAGTCGAATTAATGAGTAAATATTGTTTCTGAAGGGCTTATCTCAATCATTAGATATGCTGAGAAGCATGCCCCAAGTAGCATGAAACACTTCCTTTCCATAGGTATATTAAGGCAGAATAAATACATGTGGAATTGCTGCATGTGAGCCAAAATGCAAAGATAATTTTCCTCTATATACAGAAGCAGTATTTAAATGAACTAAATTACCTGATAATTTTGTTTTTATGAATTGCTCACACAACAGCAAAGCCAAGTATTCCTGCCTCGCTCACTCACTACAAATCAACCAATAAACACACTTAAGGATGAATTATTTACCTTGCATCGGTGGCATGCAGTCAGACTGCCAGCTGCCTGACTGAATTACTCTGGATTTACACTGCTGTGATTCAATCAGAATCTGATGGGGCAAGACTCTTACCTTCCTTCCTCTGCTTTCTTTTCTAAGCCAAATTAATTATTAAGTACACTGCCCACAGCAAGGCCTTACGCATGCAACGCTTAATTACATGACTTTTTTCTTTCACAGGATGGGCACACATCAAGAGATAACGCATTCTTGGCAACTGAACACCACCTGAATCCAGAGGGGGGTTTTTGTTTGGAATGTCAAGGTTGGTGTTCGGGGTTTTGTTTGGTTTTGTTTTGAAAATAAGTAAGCCCTTATTTGCTCAGCTTCCACATCAAAAACATCAAAGAGAACCTGATTCTAAGTCTCATATAGTACTCGGTTGCATTTTCCAAACAAACTTTGTAATTATCCAAGACTCCCCTGGATTCAACTGCAAACTTCAGGAGTCAAACAGAAAGATGCCAATTTAAACAAAAATCTCACAACAGCTTTCTTATCTAAAGAGTACAAGGAACGAAAGGCAACTCCATTTCCAGATTCTAAAATCCAGACTAGCACAGGCCAGAGCACTGAGTGGCTGCGCCCATCTCCATCCAGTCCCCTACCAGAACTTCCCAGAGCACCTAACTTTTGTTTGCTCAGTTTACAAAGTGTGCAAGTCAAAATAAAGCTCTTGCTGATTCTCAAAAGATGACTACATTGTTTCCGTTAAACTCCCTTCGAATTCACCTCCCCATCCAAAAATCTTCATGCTTGAGCGGTCAACAGGCCTCAAAACTTTTGGCTCGAAAGGCTGAAGTGTGATGAAGTTATAAGCGCGTGGAGGAAAAGGAGAGATGGCGTAAGAGTTGAAGCTTTCATGCAATCTCACTAGCAAGCCAGTCTTCCAAAGGGAGAAAACAGAGATAAGATTCCTCCACCAAATTACTGCCCTAGTACCCACAGCTCTCCCTCCCCTAACCCGCTTTTAGGCTGAAGGACATTTTGAAAACATGCACCCCTGTTCGCAGCCCCCACTTTAACGCTGCTCACACTTACTTTACCAGAACTCTGCACGCAACCCTTCCAATTGCTCTATAACTACCAGACATGGGCTGGAGCTTCAACCCTGTACCACAGCACGTTCCCACTGCAGTGCCTTCATCATCCCAGCTTCCACAAACAGGCCAGAGATGGAACCTTCTTCCTATTCACCAGTCTAGTATCAGACAGATGTCAACGTACCCTCCTGATATAAACCAAAAACACCTTCTATGTACAGACCACAAACGTACATGCACCAAATAAACAATCGAGTGACCCAAAAGAACTCACAAAGGACAAGGAATCTGGAATTTAGATCTCAGGGTACTTCACAGAATCACACACTTAATGTGTGCTGGACGTATACTTCTTTGCGGGTCATCACTTTTAATCATAAACACACAGATAAAAGCACCTGCAAGTACAAGGTGAGGTGGAGGCTGCATTTCTGGAAGGCATAATCAAGGCTGGACACCGGGTATTTAGAGGGTGACTTTCAATAAGGTTTTCTTTATTGTCCAGACACCTAGCTTTTATTTTCTATTCAGCGCCGAGTTTTCAGTTGACAAAAGGCCCTGAACACGACACACGGGGACGATTTACAATGTCGTTTTTATGTCTGCCCAAGATCTTTGTTCAGTGACAAGGAGCTTTTTAGGCTTAATGGCTGCAAAATGCCAGGGATGCTGCAGGCCACACGGGCCGTGAGGTCAAACGCAAGAAACGCCTCCACGCAGCTCGCCAGCGGCCGGGAAGTTCAAGCGCCGCTCCGCCTTCAGACCCAGCACACCTGGACATACATCAGGCCACCCCCCACCCCCCCAAACCATGCCGGACAACGTG